CTTGGATATCATGCCAAGGGTCGTGATGGGACGGAGTTGGTGTATGGCCGTGACAACATGGCAAAACCGGTAAGGGAATTTCAAGAGGTGCTTTTGCAGATTGCTCTTGATAAGTTCCGCCCCGACGCCACCAGATCGGGTTTCTTCGTGAAGAGTTCACGTGAGCCGGAAGGTGAGCCTTTGCCTCCGGACGAGGTTTTGTCCGACTCGTCGTCCGAGGCCAGTGATGACGCGGAGGATGTGGATCACGAGGCGGCCGAAGGAGCTGCCGATGAGCTTGGTCATCAGTGGGAGCCTGATCTGGGGCTGAGGGAAGAGCTGGCTGCTGTTCCCCTCTTCAGGAATCGTGATAGTCGCTTCATTCATGCTGCCGCTTCAGAGGAAGGTGACAAGTTCAAGTGCGGGAGGAGCATCTCCACTCGTTACACCAGGCTCGCCAGTGTGCCTAGGATTTTGTTCCCGTTGTGTAGAACGTGCTGTCCTCCGAAGAAGCGTGACTGAGGAGGTATGAAAGGAGTGCTGCGAGTTCTGTGCAGTTTGTTTGTGCAGTGCATGTAGCGTTTCTTGAAAGGGACTGTGGCTCAGTCTTTGCAGTCTGTGAACCACATGTGAGTTTCATGGCATGAGCTGACAGTGATGCATAGGCATGTCTTCAGTTCAGTGCTTTTAATTGAGTGAGCCTAGGGTCGTTTGCTGTGATGGCCAATTACTCTGAGAGTCTCTCTGTGCTGAATGCTCGTTTGAGTGCTGTGGGCTTTTCTACAGAAGACATTCAAAAGATTTCGCCAGAGGTGGGCAACCTCAGGCGGCTGGCCTTCATTTCATCATTCACTCCAGGGCAGACTGATGAGGAACCACTCATGAAGGTCCTCAAGGACATTCTTAAGAGGGATCTTGCGATTGCAGACAAGGCCAACTGGAGGGCCATCTTTAACGAAGCATTCGCCATCGTCACTGCAGAGATGAAGCAGAGGGTCGAGAAAGCTGATCCTGAAGCCACCGTTCGCCCCTTGTCACAACCGGAGCGATCGGAAAGGTACGAGAGGCAGGCCAAGAAGCTTACGGGCATTTCTTTGAAAGGCCCTTTGGAGCCGGCTGACGCCTTGGTAGACCTGGCGGTGGCCTCTTATGAGGCCAACGAGTTGCGTTACATTCCTTGGGAGAGGTGTGTTTCAAAGGAGGCTGAGCTGGCCGGGGAAAGGAAACGCGATGTAAGGTTCACCGTGGAAGAGTCTTCAGGAAAGCTTAAAATTGAGCAGAAGCAGCCGGAGCTTGTTGCAGATACATCGACGGAAATTCTTGTGCAACAGGCTCTGACCAGGAG